TAGTAGATATAAGACTCCTGCTTCAATATCTATAGTATTAGTTTCTGAATCTAAAAAGATAGGTCATGCTGGAGTGTGAAAATAGAACAAACGGGTTGTCTCCAAACTAGAAGGGTATTTTCAAGAGGTCACTGAGTAGTGTTTATTCTACTGACGTTAAAGTTGTCATATTTGGGCGTGTCTTACTGCAAACACAGTTATGAAAATGGAAAGGAAGGGGAGGAAGTCAGAGATGCAGAAAAGCAGAACTTTCTGCGTACATGGCCGTCAGATGGAGCCATCAAATTTCTAGCGGAACGAAAAAAAAGTCAAGGACAATTGAAGAATTACGTATAATAGGCTGGAATTAAGGACAGCTTTTTATCCTCCTCCATTGAAAAGATGCTGCTCCACACAAAACACAGGCTCTGATCTGAGGGGTAATAATTATGTCAGTAACTCATTTTAATCAAAATGATGAGGTGATGGTAGTGGTCCAATGACTTTAAAAAGGAGAATGCAAATTCCTCCAAAAAGAGACACAACGAGCAAATGTCATGTAATCTCCAGGATTCCAGAATGGATTTTGAAAAGCATCATCTCTGAACGTTTAGACAAGGAGGGGGTGACCACCAGGAGCTGGCTGGAGGTCATGAAGCCAAAACTGTAGCTGATCAGAATTTGCATTTTGGACAGGGTGACTAAAGGCGCTGGGAAAGAACACTTCTTAGGGTGCCTATTTCCTAGAAGGCGTATAAAAAAATCCAGAAACAAAATCTCATTTAATCCTTACCCAAATCCTGTAAGACAGATTTTTTAAACCCAGATTTGAAATATGAGGCTAACAAGGCTCAAGGACATCCTAGAATTTGCCCAAGGCAGAACAGTTAACGCAGCGCAGAGCTGGGATTCCAGTGGGCTGATCGGTCTGAGTTGAAGTTCAGGTCTAAGAGCAGCCTGGACGGGGGGTGGGGGTTGTGGGGCTGGGATATGGACAGCATGGTGCGCGTGGCCTTCAAAACACCCAGGACAATGTGTCTCATGATCTTCTGGTCAACAAATGTAGAGAATGAGCTGGATGATAATATTCTTTGATGACACTTTAGAAGAGACATTTCTCTTGTCACCCAAGGGCTCTCTCCTCGTCAGTGACTTACTGAAAGAACAGACGGTGCTGGGAGTAACAGTAAGGACGTCACATGACAGGATTCCTCCAAGCGCAGCTCAGGTCATGTTCTCTCCAGGAAGCCAGGCCCCACTTTCTTTCCCTTCCAATTCTTTTTTCTTTTTTCCAATTCTTGTATTAAGTACTATAACACTATGGTTTTAGGTTGTACCAATTTGTGGCTGTTTAAAGGCCGACATGAATTGTTCTCTGTCATTTCTCGTGTATTTATTTGTCTTTTTCCCTCACAGGGCTTGTCCATTTTTAAAAGGTAGGAACCAGGGCTTACAATTCTGTTTCTCCCACATCATCTACCACAGGCCTGAGAAAGCAGAAGTCATTTCATAAATGACAACCTGTAGGTGAACTGGGGAAATACAATTTGCCTTTTAATAATCCTTTTCTAAAGGTTGTTTCTCATTGAATTGAGGTAAATCTGAAGGTATTAAAAAAAGCGACTGACCTGCCAGGTGATGGAAATGTGAGCTACCTTGATTGTGGTGGTGGTTTCATAGGTGTATACATGTGTCAAAATTCATCAAATTATGTGTCTGAGATATGCGTAGTTTACTGTACAGAAATTATACCACAAAAATTGTTTAACAATTTTAAAAAAGCAACTGAGCAGCCTAATTGCTTTATAAAGTGAAGCCTCATTTAGGACATACATGAGTAGATTAATGGCAATAGCATTATTACCCTTGCTTCATTAAACTCAGATGCAACAAAGTCATGACATCTTTATGTACAAAAAATTGTTGAATATATTATTGAGTCTGAGAGAGCCAAAGAAAAAAGACAATTTCGTCTTGTATTTCCTACTCCTTCCTTCTCCTGTTCAGTGGCCAGGTGGCACTGAACTTAAACTTACCTTAAACTTCCCATCTGAAGAGAAGATGCTAACCCATTTATTATCATAATCCGCAATGATTATGTCCCCACTGGGATGCACAGCGACTCCTGTGGGCCGCTGCAGCTGCCCGGGAGAGCGTCCTCGGATGCCAAAACGACTTTTGAACTGTCCATCATTGGAAAATATCTGTAAAACAAATGACATTCATTGGAATATGAATTAGCACAGAAATCAGTGAGAAACAAACAGGCAAGAACACTTGTCATAAGTACCGCAGGTCAGAACATGCAAACTCTACTCAAAGAAAAGCCCACACATACATTATAAGCCTCCCTTTCTTTCCCGTATCTTAAGTGGGGAAATAGGCAACTGCATCTGTCGTATCCATGTAAGTGGTTAAAGGTACATCATTAAGGGCCATACCTGCACACACTGGTTGTTACTGTCTGCAATTAATATCTTTCCACTCGTAGATGCGGCTACCCCTTGAAGATTTGTAAATTCTCCTTTATTTCTTCCTTTAGTGCCTAAAAATAGATTGTAAAACCACAGTAAATTAAGCAAGAGAGAATTCGACTTCTCAGTTTCCGCAACAGAATTATTCAGCCTTCTAACGGTAACCTGAGGATGCAATGTTTTTTAAATTACACTTAAAAAAAAGACCTCCTCCCTCCAACCATGACCTAATCCATATTCTACTGAACTTCTCTTCCAGACCAACAAAAGTCTTTGAAAGATCATGTTTTTTGGGGCAAATACTAATCTCCTCTTATTAAATTGTAGCTACGTATTAACATAACTAAACACATATTTAGATTCCACAAGGACACAATTATAACGCCTAATATTACAATCGGGGATATGTAATAAGAGAGGGCCTTATTTTAGAGTTTTGCCAAAATCCCACCCTCTCATTCAGCAGCTCTTAGAAACCTGGACGCTTGACTGTTAGCACTTTCAATAAGCCTTGTAAGGTCACAGATGTCATAAAGCTAGCAGGCTGATTTCCATGTACTGGATTTATTTATGTATTATTTTCAGAGACTCAGCATCCCATAAGCTGTTTATCTTTCCTGTAAAAGATACCCTGACAGTGCTTTCTAGATTAAATAAATAAGAAAGGCAAAAGAAAATTAGTTAATCCAAGTAACAGCCTCATCCTTACTGGCTATTTTTATGGAAGAGATGAGGCAGGAAAAAAAAAAAGCCAAGGTTAACAGATGCTTATTTTTGTTCCCGAAGAAGTGTTTATAATTTATTTTAATAGGATCATTTAAATATTAACGGATGGAAACAGAAGGAACTTTGCTCAGAAATGACCAGGGAGGAGGGTCACATTTTCATAGTTAGAGAACGCTATGCTTCAGTTTTATAAATTCATTTATGTTCAAAAGAGCAACTTGATATTTGTTTTTAGGCATCAGTGCAGCACCTGAAGGAAAAAGCAGACAAAGACATGCTGACGAGGGCTAACGTCAGACGCGTGCCTGGGCTCTGATCAGGAACAGTCAGACTCTTCTGAAGCTGGTTTCTGCGTTTACAGAGTAAAACTGCGATGGAATGAAACTCAAGAGTAAAATCAAGAACAGAACTGCTGGGCGAACCATCTTAGATTACCTGGTTCTCACCAGACCGTAGTTGTTTTATTGAAATCCTGGGCTCTAACAAGTAAGACTCGCCACCTCTATCTCTTACTAATGGGAAAGAAAAATCTGATATCCAGATCCTCAAAAGGACATCCTCCACGTTGTGGGACAAACGGTTCTATTTCATTTCAGATGTATCAGAGGCGATGATCTTCCTATTGATCTACACAGACTCCCTAAAATACACAAGTCTGTAGGATCAGCTAATGCTCTAAAAATGGTGTGTTGGCATCTGTAGGTGGGAGTCAGGGAAAGGGGTGGTTGACCTTTGAAGGAGGTACGCGTTGGCGTGGTATTAACTTTTTTTGGCTATTCCTTCTGATGTCTGAGTAACAGCTGGTCACTAAGTACAGCAAAACTGAAGTTCCAAGAAAAGAAACAATTCTTCTGAAGTGCTCAGTTTATAAAAACTTTTTTAAAAGATACTGGAGGCGAGGCCAGAGTCTCTCAAAAATAAAAACTTAAGTTATCAGAAGCTTTAATAAACAGAAGCACAGAAGTTACTAGCAAGGTTAGAAACTGAGGACCAGCAGTGGGGGTGTAGCTTAAGTGGTAGAGCACATGCTTAGCATGCTTAAGGTTCGGGGTTCAATCCCCAGCACTTCCTCTAAAAATAAATACACCTAGTTACCTTCCCCCCTAAATAATTTAATACAATAATAATCAATTTTAAAAAATTTTAAGAGAAACAACTCTTCAAAAAAAAAAAAAAAGAAACTGAGGACCATATAAAGAAACATACTAAAAAAAAAAAAACAAAGCTAGAGTCCTGCCAGAGAGGATGAAACACACAAAAAAGAAGTGGCTATGAAGAAACCCAGGCTGTTCTAGACCTGGTTATGTAAAACTGGAAGTGCACCACAGGCAGGAGAAAGAAATACTGAAATTGGGGAGGGGAGTAAGAGAAAAAGGGGAGTAGAAACGGGAAAGAATTGTATTCGGGGGTATGATTTTAAAACTTGGGAAGACATTTAGTTGAACTGCGTGTCAGTACCACTCAGAATGAGAAGGAAGACTCTATGCCTAATTTGACAGGAATGTGAGAGGCTCAGTGTCTGCCAATACAATGCACCTGCGCTGTGGAAGACCACGCAGCTGGGGCGGGTTCTCCAGCCACCACCAAGCTCCAGGGTGATGGGCTGGCCCGGCTCTTACTCCTGGTCTCAAGTTACCTAGCGCTTGAGTCTGCTGCTTCCCATGTAAATAAAATCTCAGGGTTGGAGGCACGTCTGTTAGTCCCTGGTTGCTTATATACTTTTAAAGGCGCTAGGTGGAACAGGCATGGCCATTGAAATTTTGTATTTGTTTTTAAAAATCTTTCTCTTTAAGCCACAGGGCTCAGTGGCCAAACAGCTGGGGCTTGGCATTACTGGTAACATCTTTTGATTCTGATGAGCATCTTTGGTCTTGTCAGAGTTATTAATGATCATTAAAAAAACCAAAACTCTATTTGTGTTAAGCATAGCAGGAACGCGGTGTTACTCCTGAGGATGAAAGGAAATTCACCAGCGTACTTTTGAGGGACAACTCATACTGACTCTTTTTAATAGCCATTCTTAATGTTGAGTAATGATGCAGAACTCTGGCATATCAGTATGCTGAAATGCCCAAAGTCAAGGTATTTATAAGGTGTCTTGGGACCAAAATAAAATAAACTGAAATTCCAGAAGCCAAATAATTTGGGATCATGCTTTACTCTTCAAGATTTTTAGTAAATTCTATTTATCTATAGAAAAGTTCTCCGCCCTCCGCAAAGTATTCTAAATACATAATGAAAACTACTTTTTTCCATAACAAATATGAATGTCACATAAAACATATATAGTAATTATCAAATTTCTTCCTGTCTACTTTGATGTAAAAGATTTCATTTGATGGTGACATTTTGGCTATTAAAATGACTAATGTGAGCTTTTAAAGTAGTTATAAACAATTTGGCAACAATTCCATGAGATAATTATACTTGTTTTCCCCAGATTTTAAACTAGCCTATGAAACAGCACAAAATGAATGTTTATCAGCTTGTCATCTGTGCTCCCGCCCACACCTTCAGGAAGATTACAGAAGCAAGGTAATAAGTCCCTGGACTGAAATAGGAGATCAGTAACTGCAAATTTCCTTCCCTCCAATCCAACTTAGTAAGAAAATTAATGCTAAATAAATCTAGATACTAGAACGGGATAATACAAGAGGATGAAATCGAGCCAAACACAGGGTCTAACACAGGATCTTCAACCAAGCAGGTGCCTAACAATAGTCGCTGAATGAATGAGTGCCTGAACGAATTATTAATGACTGAGTAAATTACAACCCAGCTACATCATGGGAAAAGGAAGTGTTCAGTAATATTTACAGCACTTTCAGACACATTCTTTCTCATGCACTCCCTATAACAACCCCAAGGGTTAGCAGGATAAATACTATCATTCCATTATATAGATGAGAAATTGAAGCTGAACACATTATGAAGGTAGTAAAGAGACAGAGCAAAGGATAAAATGTGGGTCTCCTGACACTTTACATAATATATATTTTTAATACACACACTGCTTCTCTCTAATTGGACTTTAGAATGCCAGGTTTTTGAAGTGAGGATAATTACCCTTGGGTTCACGTGGATCATGCTTTCTCTGTAAAATCTTTTAGAAAACTCCATTTTAACTGGTTCACTGTCTCCCTCGCTATCCTGGGAGCTCCCCGAAGGCAGGGGCAACCTCCGTCCTGTCTACTGTGGAACCCTACAACACAGCACAGTGCCTGGCACACAGTAAATAACAGTGCATCTTTTTACACTTGAAATGCAAGGAGAGTTCCCAAGGATGAGATTCTCAAGGAGTAGGGATAGCGTTCCTTTATGATGACCTCAGACGCCAAATTATCATGATCTCCTTCCTCAGAGATTTAGGGAGGAAGGGTGGTGATTTGCAGAAGTGAGGTGGGGAGAGGGGCATAAAATCATATCACATCTTCCTGGAAAGCCACTGAACTCACATTAAGTGATTTTACGCATCCATCTTTCATCATGAGACAGAACCCTACTCTAGAGTACAAATGAATGGTTCATTGAATACATCATTCCAAGGACTCATTCAGGTATGGTGTATGAATTACAGAATCGGAAACAATTCAACTGTAATTCTTTCACTCCCTCCCACATCCTCAGGCTTCCTATTTGTTCAGTGGTTTTCTTCAGTAGCTGACAAAATCAGCTCATGGCTTCTCATCAGCAAACTCTGACAGTGCAGGGAAAAATAATCCCCTGCTTCAAGGACTCGTCAACAGACGCTCTAAGCTGCTTCCATAAACCCATTCAGGATTGTTTTGCCAATATGATATTAGAGTAAGAGAAGAACTCATTCACAGTGGGCATATTGTTAAGTCTTCAGGTAAGGGAGATACCAAATAGCTCAACTTCGGGAAACCATAGTAATTAAAAGACATTTTAGATGAAGAGAGATTGTTATGCAGCTGAAAATGCAGGGGTTTTAGACTCCCAGGTGCCCTGGATTACTACCCCAGCTCTCCTGAGCCTCCATTCCTCCAAAGCTAAGGATAATTATATGTTGTCCTGAGAATTTGGCTCTTGAGGGGCAGGGCTGCAGGGCTGCAGGGCTGGAGGAAGAGCTCTGATTTGTAGCATTTGCCCATTTCTGTTGGGCAAATGCTCCCATCATGGCTGATTTCAAGGAATTCAGTGAAGCTGCGGGTACAAAATTAACATACAAAAAAAGTAGTGTTTCTGTACACTAACAATGAATTTTCTGAAAAATAAAGAAATTGATCTCATTTATAATAGCATTAAAACCAATAAAATACTTGAGAATAAATTGTGTAGTTGGTAATTATGTAAGTTTAAAAAGCTAAAGATCTAATCTGTTCTT